GCTGTCAGTTGATAACAAAATGGGCTGCAGGATGTCAGAGTCCAAGAGTTGGTGTCCCACCTTTCCCTGGAGAAGGGATTATCACAGATATGACTCTGTCCTCAAGGTATGATTAAGGCTTAGAGCTCACACCCTGCTGTTTGCTCAGGAACAATTCAGACTGTAAAAAAGCAGATTCTCAAAAAGACAATTTTGAAAGAGAGATTTACATCTCTTTTCTGTCCATTCAGCTTTTTGCAGAAGTTGAGCAAAACAGAACTCCTACAGGGTACGTTAGTGAAAGAACTCATAGGCTTGATCCTTACCTGTTACTGGGGAAATTATGGGATTAGGTATTTTCGTATTATTTTTGCAAGGCTGCCCACTTCAGCCCTGTGGAGTAGGGAGACTAGCGTGTGCCCATTGGGCACACTCTGCAGATGCAGTAGTGGTCAGTGGCCTGGCCCTACACTTTGAGAATGTATGAGGATGTGTGAGCAGGAAACTACCTCAGGACTAAATGCTGTTAGATGGTCTCTTACAAGCTGCCAAGCTTGCTATTAATAGTGTTCATTCGTAAAAAATGGCCCAAATCTCATTTCAGAGTTTAATCTACCACTGAGGTTTTACCTTTGTTTCTGAGTGAGTCGCCACTGTTTAAGTCAACGTCTTCAGGCAGTCTTGATTCCTAAAGGAAGTTGTGCACCAAGTTCTAGTCTGTCCTAATGGACTCCACTTTCCATTAGGTGTGAGAGAGACATTTTTCAAAGGAAACAGACCCGAACAATAAGCAAAATAACAATGATTGCACACAAGAGCTGCTTCTGGCAAACACTTAACAGCTGGAGAAGTTGAGGACCTCTAACCTTATCCAATCATTATCTCCCAGAAATGCCTCACACAGGAGGAGTATGAAAATGCAAAGGAAATCATTTATACATACACACACACAAAACAAACCCACAGTTAAGAAAAAATAATAGCTCTTAACACCAAGCAGCTTTTTGTTGTAGACACTAATTTTTGCCTGGAGTCTTTCCTCATTATGAAAGACCAATATAATACTTTATAGGAAAACAAAACACTTTTCTTAACCTTTGGTAGGTGCATAATTAGGAATATAATATGAAAGATGGCCCCTTACATGGTTCACAGAGGTCTTGTCTTTTAAGACCTGGGAGGGTTTGGAATTACAACAGGCAAATTCAAAGATGCTAATTAGAAATGCAGCAACTGCTTTTACAGACGTGCTGAGAACATCTAAGCTTTCCAGAAATTATGCAAGCTAGAGGGAGTGATCCCATTTTGTCTGGTTTTGAGAGCTTTCTAATTTGAGGAAGAAAAGAACAATGGTGGAGGCAACCAATGTGTTATATCTCATGTGAAACTGGCCCATGCAAGAGAAATATTCTCTGGTTTTATGCCGCTGGTAACATTTCTCAGGTTGCTATTCCAGGGATCTAGAGATTTTTTAAAAAGATGCCTGCCAGGCATTTGTTCTTTCTTTCTTTCTGGTACTTGTCTCTATCATTTTCTGTACTATTTTCTGAGTTAACACCCTGGTTAAGTTTCACAATTACCCGTGAATGTAAAAAGCTGTAGTTATATACATGCAGGAAAATATATATGACTATAGGTTCTTTAACTCTTTCTAAGTAACCTGTATTTTTTCCCCCTATGTATCTCTCATGCCTAGCATAGACTCTGGCATATAGTAGGAACTGGATACATATTTGGTGAATTAATGAGTAAATTTCTCAATTCAACTTCACAGAGGCTACCACAATAGTCAGTTTAAAAAAAGTCATCTGAAATTTTGCATTCTAGTTTTCACCTGTATGGCTACACTCTTGATGCTATTTTTTGAGACTTTCAATTTAGTGCTTTTGTCTCTGGGAAAGAAATGGTCTATTTAGAATCACCTCTTTCTTGTGTTACTCCCTATAGCAATTTTTGTTCTTTAGTATTTTCACTCATTCATTTATTCATCCAAAGGCATTAGTTATTAATTGAAACTATTTTAGAATTTTTGTGCTTTTTGATTTGTTTCGTGAAGGAGATTTTAAGTGCTGCCACTTACCATGCTTGTGATTTTGGACAAGTTAATAAACCTGGCCTCAGTTTCCCTATCTGCAAATGAGGGTGGTGATAGAATCAATCACAAGACTACTGTAAGGATTAAATACTTGAACTAGTCCAATGGCAAGTGCTTAATACATATTAGCAATTAAATTAAAAAAGGATTATTATTATTATGAGTCAGATTCTTGAGGACAAAGACAATCTCACATTTCATATCAGGCAGCACAATGATCAATATTTGTTGCATTAGTTTTGTCTCACAAGGCAGTGAAAGGTTTCAATACAGTGCACAAAATAACTCTGGGGTTGGTATTTTTCCATAGCATCATCAGAACAAGCTGCCTTGGCTGACAGGGGACCAAAGTCTTTGATTTAAGAGGCTTAACCTTTGCATTCTTTTCTCATAGCCTCTAGTTCAAGAGCTTAGCTTTCTACCTTCCATTGTCTCCCAGAGGATGAGTTGATTTAGGCTGACTGCTGGCTCCTGATCTTTGGAGAAAGGTTCTTTATAGATCTCTGAACTCTGAACCGACTTTATAGGACTCTCATTGAGCTGAGGAAGAGTTGTACCAACAGGAACGAAATGAAAATGAAAGCAGGTGTCCTGGGCTTATTGCTAGGCCCCAGAAATGGGTAATAAACAAAAGAGATCCAAGGGTGTCAGTTGGAACTTGTTATTAGAACCAGTATTTTTTTCCTCAATGGTTTTGAGCAAACTTGTGCATTTAAGACAAATACACTACCTCTTTCAAAGTTGCCTTTCTGAGGCAAGCTTAGAGACAATTTTTCTTCTGATACTCATTTAATTCTTGTGGAACCCATCTATCCAATTCTTTACCTTGATGATTTGTTTCAAATGGTCCAGTATTGTTGGAATAGTAACGTCAAACCTTGCTGCTAATTCATGGGTAGGTTGAGATGGATTCGCTTCCACTATAGCTTTCAGCTCATCATTATCCACCTTGGACTCAGGTCGCCCACGTGGCTCATTTTTGAGATTAAAATTACCAGAGTGGAACTTCTCACACCATCAACGTACTGTGCGTTCAATAGCCACATCCTTCCCAAACACTTCATTGATATTTTGAACTGTCTGTGCTGCACTGGTTCCAGGATGGAACTCAGATTTGAAAATAACACGAATTTTTGACTTATCCAGGGTTTCACAAAAATTGCTCTAAAAAATAGGAAAGATAATCACAAGCCAAAATATGCATTTGAAAGACTGAGTATGTACCTTCACAATAAAAATACAACAAGAAGTGTCAAAGTGAAATGTCAGAAATATCAACTGTCAAACTTAGTACTTAAGGAAATTAGACATTTCATATTTAATGACCTAATTACTACAGTGCAGACTTAAATTAGAACCTGATATTGGTCATTGGCCAAGATAAGAACAACAAAATCCATTAAATTTTCAATTTGAAAATTTGGAGGAATTCTACTGAACTGTCTTGAACTATTTATATAAGTAAGAAGTAAACTCATGTTGTGTCTGGGCTATTAAATATTTTGTATGTATTAATTCAGCACTTAATCCAACTAATTTGTATAATGTAGAATCAGGACTAGGAGAAAGCTACCAATACTTTCTGCTATCCAGCTGGATCCTGAGTGACCAATTCAAAATTTATTCCCTTGGAGTTCTAAGGCTCAAACACCTCACAGGGATGGGTATCTAAGATGCGACTATAACTTGATATTCATGGTTTTACAATATTCTGGGGTCCAAAGCATACCTACTTTTCTAGCCAATTGTATCATAGGTAAAGTTTTAGGGAAATCCAAAGCTCTTCCTTTGCCATTTCTTTACTCTGTCCCTAAATCATATAAGAAATTCTATGATGGATAAAGATTAAAGACATACTAGTTTTCACTGTTAGGGTATGGTGTTTTTTCTTTCTGCCTGATTTGGAGAGGAGGTTCTCAAAGTTGTGATCCCTTTGGTGCACTTTCTTTCCTGATCTCTGTGTGTTTCCTGGAGCCAGTGCTATAAGAGCAAGAGCTACTCCATGAACTTATTCTATCACATAATCTTTTTCATGGTGAATAAAATGAGATTGGAGGCACAACAAACAAAACCAAAGAACAAAATTGCTTTTCTTAGTGCTATATTAATATGAATGTGAATAGCAGTTTTGCAAATTGGGTCCCAAGTTTTCATAGTCCAGGTTTGAGGCCCTGCATGCCTAATTCAGGCATGGGACTTCATCTTTTAGGAAATGGGGAGCTGCTAATGTTTTTTGATTTGAGGATTAACATAGTCTTTTTTGTGTTTGAGAAAGATCATGCTTGCTGCAGCCATGTGTGCATGTATGTGTGCCCACATGCTCGTGTGTGTGCGCGTGATAATAGACAGGTTGAAGATTAGTCCAGAGACTAATTCCAGGTGAAAGATTGTGGGTGGGCAGCAGACAAGGAGATGGAGACATGATAAATGTTAAGGAGGTAGCTCTTAGTGGCTGGTGTGATTGGTTCTTGGTAGTTGTATGCACTTTATGAGGGAGGAGTAGGCTGAGTGGAAGACGTTGGATTCCTAGAGTCTCCTTCATTGATGTAGGAAATGCAGGTAGATGAGGCAGTGTCATGACTTCAGCTATCATCTACAAGTTGATAACTCCAAAATCTGTACTTCCCACCCCAATCTGTGTTCCAGATCCACACTCCCAGCTCTTTCTTTAAGAGATGACTCCATCCAGTTCACAGGTGCCTAAAATCCAGCATGTCCCCAAACCAACATGGTTATTTTTGCTTTCTGAGTCCTCTCCTCAACATTAATTTCCTCAGTGAATGACACCAACATCTACCTTGTTACTCATGCCCCAAATTTGGGGATTATTTTTAATTCATCTCCCTGTGTCATTCACATCCCGTTATCCCCAAATCTGTCAGTTTAGCATCTTTAATATCTCTTTGGTCTGTCCATTGTTTTCTAGCTTCACTTACAAGAACAGGAAGTGGAAGAAAGGTGCTGAGGGAGCCACAAGGTGAGGGATGTGTATTAGAATTTAAGATTTCAGAGATGGAGCAATTCCAAATGATTAAAATTATTTCATATGCAATGTTTGAAAATTAGTGGATAAGTTCTGATCTGAGGGAGGTCACAGGATTGACAAGGTGAGGTGCACATTCCTTCTGGCCCAACATATGAGTCTCTTCCTATGTGTAGGAGAATTCCCTACCTTATAAATCCATAACAGTTGAAAATGCCAGATATTCAACTTTTAAGCTCCACTTGCAGCTAAGAGGTGCACGGGACCTAGGTGCCACCAACTAGAGGCAAGCACTGTCGACTTTAATCTAGAATCAGAGTAGCAGGAATGGTATATGGTGCTTGGCCCAACAGAGAAGTGACAGTGTTGACTGTGGTGGTGGTGACTGCAGTGAGATTATGCCTCTGGCGCAGAAATGGCAACAGTACAAACAGCAACATCCAGTGGGTTGATGGCTGTTACTCGACCAGTTCTGTTACCAAAAGCTCTGTACTTGTCCTTGAGGCTGCATCAGAAGAACAAGAACAAATGGTTTGAGAAGGAAAGAAAGATTTATTAATTTGCCAGCAAATGAGGAGAATGGGGACTACTGTCTGAAATATGTCATTGTCCTCATAATAAGAAGAAATATAGAGCTTTTAAAGGGTTGGTTCTCAGTTTTAGGCAATTGTTGTTCAACTACAATTGATGATCCTGATTGTCCCATCTCCATCCCATCTCCTCTGAAGACAATCCTGTGACCGCCACCCAGGAACTCCCCTTACCAGGTCAGGGCTGAACAATCTCCTGTGGCACAAAGAACAGAAGATATTCCCCTCCCCAGTGCTGGCCCGAGACAGGGACGTAGGTTTTAGTTCTCAAAAAGGAGTGGAGGATTTTTTAAAGAGACAAAAAATATTTTTATTGTTTTTTCAGGCATTCCCTACTGTCAATATTTTCCTTCCATATGTATGGGAGGAAGGGCGATTACCCTGTTACAGTTCTGTGGTGTGTTTTGGGGCACTGGTGTTGGCTGCTTAGACTTGAGCCCTCCCAGTGAGTCAGAAAATGTGTCTGGTAGGCATTCTTTCAGCTGCAATAACAGAAAACATAACCAGTGTGGCTTAAGCCATTAGTACTTTTTTCTCCCATAAAATAAGAAGCTTGGAGTTAGTAGCTACTGACATTTGTTCAATAGGTTGATGGTGTCAAGGCTCTCTGCCAGCCTCTGGGCCTTTCCCTTAGGCTGCAGTCTCTGTCAAGAGAGGAGGAAGAGGGGACAGGTTAGCACTGGCTATATATTTCCCTTTAGTCAGAGGAGTCCAGGGCTTCCTGGAAGCCTTAGCAGCTAGAGATTTATATCTTATTAGCCAGAGCTGAACAATATGGTCAACTAGCTAATGGGAATGTGGGAAATGAGTGTTAGTAATTGGAGTGTCCAACCTCTATTCTAGAAGTGGGAATGGAGAAGTAAGTTGAGAAAGAGACAGCTATTCTACAGTGTCTGGCACTTAAACCTTTTTTTTTTTTTTTAATTGTGAATGTTTCTTCAATCAACCAGAGTCAGTCTCTGTTGCTTTCCACAAAGAATCCTGTATGACAATCCAAGGCTTGGCACCTAATAAGGTCAACTATGAAGGGAGATAGTAATTAACGATGATTCTAAAAGCTTAGAATTAGAGAATGTTGTCTCTATTGATTGCGATAGGAAAACATTTACTGAGGGATGAGTGATCCATAGGCTTACCCTACTCTATTTCTTGCTGTTAAAATAAGAAGTGTGTTAACACAGTGGAATCTTTAATTGGTAAAATGGGTGGCAAAGATACTTTTGAACTGGGAGAACACACTTTACCTGTTTCAGGTGCCATAGTTACCTCGTCCACCCTTTGGCTAGCTTTTCCTGAAATTGAGTTTTCAGTATTATCATGGTTGCTTTGAGAACAGGGTTCCAGCTTGTCTATGCATAGGCCTTGTTCCATTAAGTGGTAGAATTAATTGTTCATTAAGGCAGTAAATGAGGTTGATTAAATGGTGATTTAGTGAATCAATTACAATATAAGTTCATAAAAGTCTAGCCCTTAGTTATTGATTTTCTTTTTTATTACTTTTTCTTTGAGGCAAAATTTATTGAAAATTGACAGTAAGAAAACCCTCTCTCAGAGTTATCTAACAATGCCAATGTCTTCGCACAGCCATATACTGCTTGCTACCTCACTGTCTTGCATGTTCACCCTCTGTGCCTGGTTAACTTCTGCTCTTCCTTTAAGATGCCACCCTTTTTTATTATCAGTGTTGGTTCAATAGGCAGAGTCAGTCACTGTTGCTTTTCACAAAGAACCTGTGTGATAATCCAAGGCTTAGCACTTAATAAAATCAGGGGTTGATGTCACCTTCTTTAGAAAGCCTACCCCCTAAATTTAGATATCTCTCTTCTAGAGGGGAGGGTGCCTTGCTTTATTTATCTCTTTAGTCCATGTACCTAAGATAGGTTCTCAATGCATGCTTGTTGAATAAAAGGATGTATCAATGTTAGAGAACTTATAGCTAATTGAATATAGTCCTGATCAATGGGAGGACAAGAATACATATTAAAGAAAGAAGGAGAGAGAAGGGAAGAGAGAGAGTGCTAAGACATTCCTAGAACATGAGAGGGCCACCGATGGGAAGGGAGAAGAGATGAAAGTATAGACAATGTCTACATACATTTCATATTGCCTTGGATATAGGTATATTGGGGCCTTTACTTGGAAATTGTGTCAGAGTTTGTTTTTTTTTCACTTGTTTACAGCTCTAAAACTTTTCTTTCCTTCTTGCCACCCCCTCTAATTATTCAAATCCCTAGAGGCATCACTTCCTTAGCATGACAGAGTCTCCCAAATCATGGTTCTAGTTTTCCATACCTTTGTGAGGGTGAGGGGAAACTTCCCCTTCACCCTGGAAGGTTCACCTGTAGCATATTGAGATAACAGGGAGGGGGGAAGGGAAGTTGATTGTTCTTTTGATGAGTCCGTCTGGTTTGATGCAGATAGAGGGAAAGCCCCTTCCAAGGGGGCTTTAATTCATCTAAGGGCCTGATCTCTAAGGGCCTTTAATTAAGGGCCAAAATACTCTCTATACCAAGGAGTCATATTTTGAAGGAAATTTCCTGATTTCCTTCACTCTACTGGGGACATTCTTGCTTTCCCATTTTTCCCTGTGTCTTTGACTTTAGCATCTCTGGAAAGAAGCTATGATAATGGTATTTTTCCACCCTCTTTAATCTTCCAGGTTGGCAGGCCAAGGAAGTGGCTAGATCTACTCTATATCCCTTACTTTTCCATGTTTCTTCAGAACCAAAAAGACTAGTAATTTAGAGCCACAGACCTGGTTTATGGTTAAGTTGGCTCATCCAGTTCACTCACAGATTTTGAACTTTAGAAGGCAACAGTCTTTTGCCCCTACAGCTTAGTAAAATATATTCCAAGAAATCTCACTCTTCCAGGTTCCTGAAAGAATCTGTGCTTATTTGCTCTTCTTATGACCCTTCTCCTCCCAACTTAATCCACAGTTAATTGCCTTAATCATGTTGGCTGGCATAAGGAGTCAGAAGCATTTTTAACTTTCTTAATATATCTTTTCCTATGTTGAACCAGCTGCATGTCTTTGTAGCTCTGTTTTGATGCTTGAGGTGATTGTCTACACTGTGATTTTTAAATTTAGAAAATTCTCTTGTGTTTTTAGGAGTGAAGTGCTTTTTAGAAATCTGGCAAATAAATAGACTCAGGTTTCCTCTTCCTGTCAGAAGGAGGAAAATGCTCCTTTTCTCCCACATTCCTATAAGGTGTTTTGTGCATAAAAGAAGTCAATAACTTACTTCTACCTGCTATCCTCGTCTTTGTTTGGTGAGGGCTGTTGGTTAGTGATTTGTGGCTGAACTAGAACCATTTCCCAGATGAGAAAACTAAAGTTAAACTCAAGTGGTCTAATTTTGGAATCAAAATCAAGTGGCTTTTAAATTTCAAAGGCCATTATGCCACTTATTTCAAAAGCAATGTGTTATTTATACTTGGCCTAAACTGGGCCAACATACTGGAGTATTTTGTGATAATCGGCTACCTCAGGCACCAGAATTGCTGCTAGATCTTGTTAAAATGGCTGCCTGTTTCTCCTTGGAGGATTGTGAAAATATAAAAAGAAAATCATTGTGGTTAGAAAACTCTTCTTCTGCTTTATTATTCAAAAAGTACTGCTGTTAGCTTCTTCTGTGGGAGTGTTTCCCAGGGATAGTCTTAATTATTGATGGCTAAATTCTCATTACTTAATGGAATTTGAACTTGAAGGGGAAACAAGAGGGAACTTTCCTTGCTAATTGGTAACACACGTTGTCTTCCCCACATCCATAGAAAAAGATATTGGCTTGGCAGGGAGAGAGATCAGAGAGTGTGTGAAGAGACAAGGGAAAGGGTAGACAGGAGAGGAGAGTATAAACTGATTTCACATCTGAAGTCCTGTGAGATCTTTCCTAGTTTTAGTCAGAACTTAATGCTACTCACCTCTTCCACGTATGAGCATATAACAAGAAAATCATTGTGGAAAACACATGTCTGCCCTTCTATGAGGATGCTTCTGTTATAAAAGGGGCTACTTTCTGTTGGACTCCTTGGTGAGTTTGAATATGAAAAGGTGGCCTAGAGGGCAGAAGTCAAAGAACACTGATTTGTTCTCCATAATATATTAAGGAGATTCTAGAGTTGGGAGGGCTGAGTAGGGATCTTGGGAGACACAGTGTGGAATTGGAAGAACAATACAATTCCTTGGGATGACCCAGGCTGGGTAATTTCATGGGTTGAAGTGGCAAATGATAAAGCTTTAGTGGTGGCGTATTCAAAAGTCTTTTAAGAACAAGGATGTCTAAAGCTTACTTTGAACTCGTGTATACTATTGTGATCTATACCCCTTTTCCCAGAAAATTCTTTAGTCAGTTTTTGTTGAAATGATATTGTATAGCATGCAACCCCTAAATCTCAGTGACT